TTAATGCAACAAGAGTAATGTATTCAGATGCATTTAGTGCTTAAGATTACAAGTCACATTTAAACCATACATCAACTTCCATCAAAGGCCAACAACCTCACCAGTCGCCTAATAGGCACGTCTTCGATACATGAGGGAAATCTCTATAGGTAAGGTCCCAGCCATGAAAACCACTGTGTTGCTCAACTCTGTTATTGATGCTTAAAAGTTGGTTCTGAACTCAGGCGACCAGATGCACCAACTGGTCGTTACCAAGTCTCAACATATGTACAAGAAATCCCAACGAGACCAAAACGGCTCCCTGTCAGACAGCTCTGTTTGTGAGCACAGAAGCCCCACTCACCCACTCTTCAAATCTTTTGTTTTCAAGGGGCAGCTAATCACAAGCGAGTGATTAAAAAGAGGAGCTAAAACAAGCCGTTTCAGTCGGTGGATGAACCGCAGGCCTCACCGAGGCCCGGGATTACCTCGGTTTCACCAACCGGCTGGCTGTTGCCTAGCACCTGCAGTGCAAATTTTTCATTTGTGATTTGTAGCAGCTATGGAGGATCAACGAAGAAGAAAAGACAATTTCACTGACACAGAAATGGGAAAATAAGGGAAGTAAAACTAAGAACACACTGGATGGGAAGCGGTCCAACACTCGGTCAGGAAATAAATACACCATTAAGCTGCGTTCTGACTGAAAACAATGCAACAACAAAAAAGAGGCGAGACCACCTAAATATAAACCTTGCAGTTACGATTAATCAATCTATGAACGTGAAGTTATGACTGACGCTCAACTTCGTGCAGAAACTAAGATTTCAAGTGGGTGTTTTTAATGAAACGATTCTGGATTTGACAGCAGCTTCACGGCTGCCGTACACGAGAGGAGATGAAGGGAAAGAGTCGAGAAGGAGGTCTCGCAGCAGTCACAGTCTGATCAGAAAGAACTCTTCTAAATGGCTGCCTGACACCCTGGAGACCGAGCAGGGACACATTTTACTTAGCTGAAGTCTGCCAGGCACAGCAGGGTTTTTTCCTGCCCGGCCCTCACTGAGCTGGCATCTGCTGAGAGAACTCTATCCTCGACACCTACATCTCAAATTAGCTTTGTCGCTAACAGGAGGAGACTGAAACACTTTTTGGAGCCTGGCTGGTGAGGTGA